TTCCTGCTGTTTAGAAATGCTCCTTATTTCGTGTTTCATTTTGCCTTAAGTGCTGCCCCTGGGTAAAGGTAATTACCATGTAAAAAGTAGAGAAAGTGCATTTCTTTCTCTGGTTTTCCAAACCAAGAACAGTCAAGGAGTAGACTGCATTTCTCGTCCTTAGTATCAATTATTGCGACTTTGCATTTTGCCAACACAACGGAATTTCTTACTTAACCCTAAAGTTAGCTATTTTAATTCTATCTTTTAGTCTGGCTTCTGTAAGTGTACATTAAATAACCTTGTTAAGCCAAAAGGAAATAATGATTATCAGTAATGTTAAGCACTGCCAAATCAATTCCAAATATTTAACATTTTATCACTATGGCAAGAATTCGTTTCTATCCAGTATTTTAAAAATACACGCACACAAAACATATGGCTGTACGTGTACATGTAAAACAACAGTGGAGGATTTTGATGTGGCACCACTTTTCAGTATTTGCATATTGTAGCTAATTAACAGCTGCTGTAAGATTTTCCTAAGGGAAAGGACCACTGGCACCTTATTCATTACATTCTATTATTGTGTATCGTATTAAAAAGACAGGCATCTTACAACATACAAGTCATCAAAAATTGCAGCTATTAGAACTAAAAGCAATTTAGCTACAACTGTTGCTACCTTCATGATGAGTGAAATTTATCCAAAGGGGATATCCACTTACAGTATTTCTTCAATATCTCTGTTGAATTGAATGGCACAAAGATTCCATGTAAGAGAGCGATAAATTAATTTTACTAAGTACATAAAAGACAGGGCCAGCTGCTCCTGAAATGAGGGCAAACTCCACATTCAACAATGAAAATATAATTATGTTTGTAATAAAATGTCAGGAAGTTGCCGATCTGGGTGCTGTTTCAGGAATAAATCACTGCCCCTCCTTCAGAGCCATGCAATTTGATAAATTACCCTTGAAAGAAATGTTATCAGAGCCCCCATTTCATAAGCATGTTTGGGCTTTCAAATTAGCATATAAATAAATGTATAGCAATAAAGTTGTTGGTGTCACAATTGATTTCCTGAAGTCCTTCTCACTAAGTACAGAATCTTGTGAAACCATTTCAGTCCCTTTCCATTAGAACGTGTTATTTTCCAAGTATGAAGTTCTAATGGTTGAACTTATTTCATACCTGTTCAAGTTACACACATAGCAAATTTTAATTAACCCACAGTTTTTAAAAAATTAATTATTTCGAGTCCTTTCAGTTACAGTGTACTACATTTGCAACTGTGAAGGTCTAGTATTTGAACTTAACTGCCTACCTGTTAGAACCACAGACAAACACACCATTGTAAAGCAATTATACCCCAATAAAGATGTTAAAAAAATAAAAAAAGAACCACAGACCTAGCAAAATTGAATTAACCCCATCTTAATAATAAAAGATCAATTAATACCAACATATTTATGGCTTATTTTAGTAGTACACCTTCCTGGTTTAGGGATCCACTAGTGATTTTTATTAAAATGTGTTATGTACATGGACTTCCCTGGCGGTCCAGTGGTTAGGACTCCACGCTTCCACGGCAGGGGGCGCAGGTTTGATCCCTGGTCGGGGGAACTGAGATCCCGCATGCCACACGCTGCAGCCAAAAAAAAAAAGGTGTTATGTACATTCTAAGCTACACCAACGATGCTTTCAGCAGTTGATTCCAAGCTTAAGTTGGCAGTGTTGTCCTAACTACTCTCATTTCTTGATAACAGTGGAAGTGGGTGGCACCTTACTATTAGCCAGCTGAAGTGCCTCACTGAGAGATGGGGGCGCGAAAGATGGAGCCTTCTTGTGACTACCCAAGGCTCTTGCTTCGTCAGTGGCTTCACTGGCCCACACCCTCTCCTGTCTTGTCCCGGGTTTCCTCTACCTCTGGCCCTGGCTGCCATTCCCAATTCTACCCCAGTTGCCCCTATAGGATTTATATTACTATCATGTGGAGTAGTTAGACCATGTTCGGTTTCTAAGGGACTCAGAGCTCAGCCTCCCCTGTTAAGTAAGAAGAACATCCTTGGAGTAGAAAGTTCTCCTGTAAGAGAGCTGGTACAGTGATGGTTGGGACGACCCTGGGTGTGCCAGTCAGGTGACCCTCACGTGGTCCGTGACATCCTCTGCTTCCGGCTCAGGGTTCAGGCTGCCTGTGTGCTGGCCCTTCCTTTCACACAGTCTGCAACAGAAACCACAGGCGCGCTTAGGACAGTTGATGTTTGAATTTAGTGGGGAGATGCGGGCACCTGGACCAGGTGAGTAGGACAGTGCGGTGGTGATGCGGGGGCCTCCCCAGGACACGTACAGACTGGGGCTTTTTCACGTGCAGTTGACCCTCTGTAAACTGATTGACACCTTTGGGGGGGCCGTCTTTCCACTGACTCATAATTTTTCTCACTCTCAAAAAAAGGTTTCTGTACACCCAGTATTCTCAAGTTAAAGCTGAAAATTCAACTCATCATATTTACACAATAAAAAAAAAATCCATCCTGCCTTGTTTTTAATTGCAAATTCTCCTCAAGGGACTCATTCTCCTGCTTAGGAGGCAGCCCTGTGCCTTCTCCTAGAGAAGCAAGTGCAGTCAATTATGGTAATGAAATGTCAATAAATATAAAAATTTAATACAGTCTGCTCCGGGTGAGTGGCAGACGAGGGCTTGCCTCCCAGACAAATTTGCTGCTGCTGCAAATATTAAATGCACCTAAAAGAGTATCTGGTTGCCTGAGAGCTCGCCAGTAAAAGAAAAAAAAAAAAAAGGGTGGGAGCGTCAGGTACCAGCTGGGCTTCCCCGTTATGCTGTAATTGCAGCCACAGAGCCAGTTCTGCCATTGATAGCCACCCCTACATTTTAACTTAATATTATAAATTGAACTTTCGGTGTCCCCGTGAATAATCTGAGATGGATGCATTGCTGCACCCTTTTCTGTTTGTTTGTTTCAATGAAGAGGGAAATAAATCTTTTTTGTTTTCTGAATCAAGAAATTATTCTCATAAATAAGATCACTGCTGTCATTAGAGAGAAATGTATTGACAATCATAGGAAAGGAGCTAGTCTTTGTAGCTTTTGAGGAAACAGCAAATCAAAGAATAATGTAAATGTGATTCTTTCATCATCCATAAGCATGCAATCTTGAGCAATGATTAAAATGAAGTCTCTTAATAAAATTAGAAACATATGTCTGCCTTCACTTGCCTCATGAATTAACTTTATGTGCATATAGAATGCCACCCTGGATTCACTTTTTATGGACAGTATATTTTTCTCTAAACTTACTCATGAGCTAACAATTTTCATCTTAGGTGATAATGTCACTTCACGATAGGAAAAACGATAAAGGTATCTGCATGTACAATTGAGGCAGTCAAGACCTGCTTCCTACAAGGCTTATCAAAATGATTAGATTGATCAGGATGATTATGATACAGTTTATAATAATAGGATGTGTCTCAAACTGTTTTCGTGGGGAAAGTCCCCTGTGTTATGAATGTATACTGCAATCTGATTTTACCCACAGTGCTTAAAAGTCTCAAGGGAAATATATATGTGTACATATTTTTAATATATGTGTATAGACATATATCAGTTTTAACGTAAATAATAAATAAATATGGAATTTCCGGTTCTGAAAACCCCCTAAACTGATCCTGTGTTGCAGGTGGATTATTCCATCATAGCCTCACAAGCGGGGGCCACACTCAACAACCTCATGAGTCACGCACAGGAGTTGGTGGCAAAGCTTCGTTCTCTACAGTTTGACCAACGAGAGTTCGTGTGTCTGAAATTCTTGGTGCTTTTTAGTTTAGGTAAGGAATCCTTTTCTCCTAAAAATGACTAAATGATACTGACCTTGAAGTGTCTTGAGGTCCATCCATGTTTTTGTTCTTCCAAGATAATGACCTTCTTTTCTAATCGTGAAATCTTCCAGCTCAATTATGTTTTCCTGTGTGTGTTCCTGGCTGAGTTATAGCCCTGTAGTGGGTGGTTTGGCATATGGGGAAGGAGCTATGACTGGAGTCCTGAATGTTCTTCCCTGATGGGTGTAATGAGTGGGTAACGCTGATAGACAGCCACAACAGAGGGTTAGGAAAGACGCGTGGTGTCACGTTTTGGCCACCTTTCTGCTGTTGATCTTTTCCCTGCACCTTTTGTTTCAGCTTGCAAGCTACTGCTGTTTTTGTTCTTGTAAAATATGGATGGTAATTAAAAACCTGTTTCCTAAATCTCTATCAGCATTAACTAGAGAATGTTTATAACCAGGTGCACCACTATGTAAGCATAAAAGATGACGGTTGTCAAGGGGAAAGGATGCTTCTTTAGGAAAGCTTTGGAGAAGAAAGATAACTAAGCAAGACAGATTAGCTAAATCAAGGCTCCCAGTGAGTCAGTTGAGAAAAATCACCACTGCTTGGAATAAAAAAAGGATTAAGGAGATGGATTTTTATTGACTTCAAAGGAACAGATTTTACTGCCTGTCCCATACTTGATTTCTGTATTTTGTTGGCTTAATAAAGCCAACTTAAATAAACTTTTTGCCAAGTCCATTTATTACTTATTGGCAGAGAGCTGAGGGAGGCAACTTCCCTTGAATGAAAAAAATGCAGAAATCAGATTTACCAACATATGTTTTTTCTTTAGTCTTCAGTTATAAGATAGTTGTGAATTCATATCCTTAGAAATAAAACAATAAAACATACTGCAAAGTAAAACAGATGTGTCTACACTCCAAATTTGGTACTTTCATTTTAAAATGCCTCTTGACAGCACTGCACAACTGTTGCTAATAAAGGGATAGTTTGAAGTAATGGAACCAGAGTTAATTTTTCACATGTAGTCAACATTTAAAAGGAAAGGAACATTTTCATATTTTGGAAAATGTGATAAATATAGCAAAAAGAAATGTTACTGAAAATTTAAAAAGACAACAGAATTTCATAGATGTAGTGTTCAAAGGTTTACCATGCCAGCACTGGGTCCTGTATGGTTTCTGTATTAACCACAAGAAATAGGAAAGTTCTATTTAACTAAGTCTATGTGTTTTACTCAAGAACAGTTTTTTTAAAAATCAAGAGGAAGATAGCATAGGCCTGCTTGCTGTCATCTCACAAATTATTCTGGTTTATGGCAAGATAGTCATCTTTTCAACTCGTACCTTTGATCAGTAATTAAATGAAAAGTGTGGTAATGTGTGTGTAAGAAATCTTATAGCGTCTTGGTGATAAAATATTTAAAGAGATTCATCTCACTTCAGTGGTATTTTAAATTAGTTGACGAACTGCATGACATTGGAAGATGTAGAGATTAACCATCAGCCGTGTTTAGCTTTCATCCCTTTTATCGTTCCTTCATTATTTTTCAAAATTATTATATCTCTGCCAAACACTAGGGATGGGTAGTCAGGATGGGGTTGGGGTGTTCCTGAAGTGCTCTCAGCACACGAACCTCACAGATCATCTTCCTGAACAGTTGGGTCGTGTGTTTACCGGAACCTCAACCACACAGAACTCTCTGGTTTAATAAGGGTGTTAACTGTTTCAGGATCCTGGGCACCAGGGAATAACTAGTTGAATGTCCCTTAAAACTATGTCTGTTTGTTGTTTAAGGAGGAAAGGGCAACATGGCTTTCCGATTGATCAGGGGTAAATCAGGTTTGGCCAAGAGTTTATTTTTATTTTTTATTTATTATTATTATTATTTTTTTGGCGGTAGGTGGGCCTCTCACTGTTGTGGCCTCTCCCGTTGCGGAGCACAAGCTCCGGATGCGCAGGCTCAGCGGCCATGGCTCACGGGCCCAGCCGCTCCGCGGCACGTGGGATCCTCCCGGACCGGGGCATGAACCCGTGTCCCCTGCATCGGCAGGCGGACTCTCAACCACTGCGCCACCAGGGAAGCCCAAAGAGTTTATTTTTAAAGAAGCAAGAATAAAGTAACTGGCAGTAAAGTTCAGGTAGTTTCCAATTTGTGAATGGAAAGCTTTTCTCCCCCATAGAAACAATGAATAATCAATCTTTGGGGGACAACAACTTGATTGAGGGATGTGGATAATTAACCTTTGGGTACCCAGGCCAGCCTCCAAAAGCCTGTTTTACCTGTGATGGGAGTGAAAGCATACCAGAGCCTCCCTCGAAAGCCGAGCCTGTGCCCCTGAGTCTGAAACCTGCTGTGTTCTGATCCCAGCCCAGCCTTGAGCCTCTGGGATCCTGGAGGAAAATGAGGCTTCTGTGGACTGATCCAAGGCCAGGGGCTGTGTGGGGAGAGACTGTGTGCTCTTGGTGCAAGGTGAAGCAGGGTTTCCCGATGGACGTGGTGAGACGGTAGGTGTGAGCGCATGCAGGTACAGTCTCCTAAGCCTCATGGATGCCTGGGGTAAAAGCACGGAGGCAAGAGGGCAAGATGAGTTCAAGGTCTCGGGACTCTTGGGAGAGCAGTGTGGCTTGAGGGAAAGGGCGGATGTGCTGGAGAGGCAGGTGAGAGACACTCCGCAGTTACTGAGCACTTCCTGTGAACAGCCACCGGGATACAGCTGTGACCAAAACTGGGTACCACGGTCTTCATCCTGCAAAAAAATCTAGACAGACGGCAGGATTCTTTAGAGGGGGATGAAGTGCGTCGCTGAAGTTGGTTTGCCTTCCTGGTAGTCGTGTGGAAAAGGGACTAGAAACTGTGTTCCGAGTGGCTTTAATGCCCTTGGAGACAGGAGTGAGATGGGGTGTGGACACGTTACAGGGTGCAGACCATGGGATGTGATGGGGTTCAGAGGAAACAGCTGGGATGCGTCTCAGGGTCCTGGGTGCTTCAACCAGAATAGGAAACTCTATAGGAATGGCAGCTGATTAGTTGAGGTCCAACCACCTTCCTTCCAAAAGTCATCCTTCACTGAAGCTGGGTCCTGAGTTCATGAAAAGCTTAATGACAGGACTAAAGTAAAAAGTACAGTTGACCAAAATTCTTCCACTCTGCTGCCTGATTTTTTTCCTCCTCAAATAGTATCCGTGAGCAGACATCAATTGGGTAAGGTGGTTGAAAAAAAAGGAATAAAAGTAAAAAATGCCCATCTCCCAGGATATTTTTCTGTGTGTGATATAACAGACTCTGGAGGCCCAGTCTTTGTTGGTTGGAATGTTTTCTTAAAATCCTATTACTCCCCCCTCCCCCTGACGCTTTTTCTCACCTAACTGTGAGATAATTTGCATCCATGGAGATAATTCTAAGTTGGCCAGTTAATATTGATGACCCAAGAGAGGCCAAAATAAAATTTTTGTTTATTTATTGGTTTGTACTCCCACCTTTTAAAAAGGAATCGAAGTGACTGATGAAATTTGCTGTCACCAACCAGGACAGAAATAAATCTCATAGAGGAAGAGGTGTGTGGGTGATCCCCAAATTACTATCATTATCGCATGCGTTCCAAAGACCAGTAGACTTCCCATTAACTGTATCTCCTGAAAACAAACGCAGAGCTGGGAAGCAATCACCTGGTCTTTAACTTGCAGCTTCCTGAATGATGTCATTACATGGTCAAGCCCATCAGGAATACGCATGTGGCCTGAGTGCTCAGAGCGGCAAGTGACCAGAATGTGCCAGCTAAGAGGTTACTCTGGCTTGGGATTTTCTCAGCCTTGAGGCTCCGTGGCTAGACGCTGCTGGACTCTTATTCGATCCCAGGTGGCAGGAGGAATCCCGTTTCCCCTGATGAGTGCCCTTGACTGGTTGTGAGTTATTCTCTTCTCTGGTCAGCCAATATTTCTAAAAGCACTTTTTCATACTCAGCTGAGTTAAAGAGATTGTTTATTCTCTTTGAGAGGATTTCCCCAGCGTAAAAAGTAGATTGGGGTTGGAAATTGTCCTCTATGTCTCTCTATGTCCCAGATTTCTAGCACGTTGCTCAGTACACCGGCGGGACTTAGGAAACGTTGCTGATAAAATAGATGCATCAGTAGACTTACTTAGCTTTTTTTTTTTAAGCAGATACTTTATTTAATGTTTATTTTATATTGGAATATAGTTAGTTGATTTACAGGGTTGTGTTAGTTTCATGTGTACAGCGGAGTGATTCGGTTAGACTTACTTAGTTTTAAACTCAAAGCAAAGCCTTTACCAAAGTAGCTTGTGATCTGTAATGGGAAGTGGTTAAGCTGCGAAGTCCTCTCCAAGTGCAGGTTAGTTTCGGAGACTGGTCTTTCCAAAGAACTCTAACAGCTGTTTTCTTTTTTTTTTTTTTTTTTTTTTCTAAGTATAGTTGGTTGACAGTGTTTCAGGTATACAGCAAAGTGATTCAGTTTTATGTGTGTGTGTGTATGTATTCCTTTTTAGATTTTTGTCCATTATAGGTTATTACAAGATATTGAGTATAGTTCCCTGTGCTATACAGTAGGTCCTTCTCGGTTACCTATTTTATATATAGTAGTGCGTATATGTTAATCCCAAACTCCTAACTTATCCCTCCCCACCCCTTTCCCCTTTGGTAACCATAAGTTTGTTTTCTCTGTCCGTGAGCCTTTTTCTGTTTTTTACGTAAGTTCATTTGTATCCCTTTTTTTTAGATTCCACATATAAGTGATATCATACAATATTTGTCTTTCTCTGTCTGACTTCACTTAGTAGGATAATCTCTAGGTCCATCCATGTTGCAGAGTTACATTATTTCTATTACCAGTTTGCATTCTGCTCCTGGCCTACTCTCTGACACATAGTAGGTTTTTAAGAAGTATTTATTGCATTCATAAGTGAAAGAAAGCTTTTCCTTCCGACTTCTAGGTTCAAAAAAAAAAAAACAGTAATGGGAACTGGAAAAATTAGTTTAAAA